GCCGTTAGTAGCTATACTTTTTTTATTTGTAACAATAAACTTATGTACTTCAATAAAAAAAAAATAAAAAAATTAAAATTAAAATTTCATCGAAGTAAAATTATTTAACGCTAGTTCTTACATTTGCAGTATACGCATCTCATCTGATAATTGATCTTGTTACTCGACCATGTAACAAAAGAAAATAGCTGATTTAGTATGAAAAACAATGTTACCTATGTTTCAAAACTTTTTTGACAAATAAAAAAAATTTATAATCATTATTCTATTGCCAAATATCGTACATCCGAATTTTCTTGTTTTTTATTTCATTTCAAATCTTTGATACACAAGTTTTCTACTTGTTAGAGTTTTTTTTTGTAGGTAATGTGTTTTAGTCTGTAGCGCCAACAAGCATTGAAATATCCTTCTCAGAAGGTAAAAGAATTGTGAATATGTGTGAATGGTCAGTGAAAGAATCATTGGGCCATCGAGTACGTCACAAACAGGTGACGTACGCAGTATGATTAAGTTGTCTGATTCAGAAGAGTTCGTTATTTTACAAAATCTCTTGCAGAAATACAAGAACCAAGTAATTTGTATAAGTATACGATTGACCTGTTTAATTTATACCGTTGATTTTGCAACACTCGAATATTCACAGACGTACATCGGAGGTATGCTGATCGCCGTGGTTCATCATTAAGTTTTCAGCTTCTATTCAAGAAAGAACATGGCCGTGTTTCCGAAAGAAAACGAGTTTCGCCTCCGCACGTGTCAATCAGGTTTTCATTGTGTGCAGCAAGCCAAACGAAAATCAAGCGCCTTAGGTATGATTCTTTACTATAATTATCATGCAATGATTATTGCCCTTGTATGAATATATATAAGGTGATTTTTACATTACAAAAACGTGAGCTAAAAGTGGAGTAAATAAGGTTGGGACGATGAGATGTTCTTCACTTTCATTACGAGAAGGTACTTTTAAATGTTTATGGAAAAACAGTAGGCTTGGATTTATAGGCTAATTTTCTGCATCACTTATTAAACTTCAAATATAATTCAATCTTATTATTACAGCTTTGTTGAGTAGTTCGTCTTTGTCAGCAAGTGCCTCTAACAGAGGAGCTTTCACCGGTTCTCGAGTGTGATTTCTAACGATGTCAAGAGTCACTTTAAACTAACTGAAATGTTCGATGACGACTTAATTATAACTCGTACTCACGCCACAATCTTGTTTCAACATTGCTTTTCTTTTTTTAATATCCAAAACGACTAATTGTGTGCCCTCTTTAAAGGGGTTCTTTGTACTATCAGAGGTTTGCATTCTCATACTTGAAAAAAAAAAAAAACAAGAGAGTTAGGGAAAAAATGATAGGACTACTAACTATCAATATATAGGTAAAATCTACTACAATGTAAAAAATTGTTCATATTTTTTTTTTAAAAGTATTTTTCATAGTTCATCATTCCGTTTACAAGTATATTTATCACATACATTGTCATATATGACATGTATATCACTTGATGAGTAGTACGCAATTATAGGATAGCGTTCCAGTTGAAATTTGGCGTAATTTACATCATTTATCTGGATCAAACTGAAAATTTGTTTTAAAGAATGTAAAGTTAATCTATTGATGATTGCTATCATTGTATGAAATGTTTCAAGTTTTTTCTATTTTATTTATTAAGATTAGTATTTTTCATACCTGATCGAATAACTCAAGTTAGATCCAAAATTGGTAACCAAATATTTTTCGGCTGACTTCAACTCCAACTGTTGATTATTGTACTTAACTTGCATAACTAACTCGTTATTATAATTGGTTTTGACAAAAATCGTATATTTATGTCGACGGTTGGTAAAAATTTTGGTGTATATGGATAGATCAGCAATTATCACCTTACGTAGATTTTTTACGATCACGCCAGGTATAATGTTAATGGATCCTAACAGTAATTAAAAATTAAAATTTTGAGTAAATTTTCAAAAAATGTTATATTTTTTTCACTTTTAATTTGAAAAAAATGTGCATACTTACTCATATTTTTACCACTTAATATCTTAATGGCATCTTCAATAAAATGATGATGAGAATCGTATAATGGTGAGATTCTATATTCGTTTCTGAATATTTGTTTAGTCTTAGGTTCATTAAAGGTCAATATACTGAATAAATAATACTGCCGAAATGTTTTTACTAGTACATCAGTTGAGAAATAATCCAGTATTGAAGATTTCTAAAATTAATAATCCAAAGATTAGTATCTCTATGGAACTAATTTATCAAAATAAAATAAATTTTACCGATTCTTCTATATCTAATTCTACATTTATTGTATTTCTGTTTGTTACTAACGCAAGTACACACTTCCAATTTATGAAAAAATGAGTACTTGGATAAAGATAAAATGGAAATCCTTTCACTTTACCACATTTTGAATCACTATTTTTCTTCAGTGTGGTTGTCATATTCATTTTATACAACGTGTGATTCTGATTAAATAAATATACGTAATTATGTCCTTGGAGTTGGAAAAATATTTTCTTGTGAAGATTATCAGTCGTATAAATTGGTGCATGAAGTTTTACGTCAGTGTAAATCTACGAGAAACAATTTTTCAATATTAGTCACGTGGAATCAATGTTAATGTGTTGTTGGATTATCAATGATCACTGATAATGCCAAACAATTTATTCAATAAATTATATGAAAAAAACATTACATATTGGTAATTCCTTGAAGGAAAGAAGTACGAGTGACTTTGGTCCAAATAAAATACTTTAACATGAATTGAAGAAAAAGTTTTTCCCAAATCATAATTTGAAGCGAATTTGATGCCTCCTATTGTTACATACGAATTGTCGTACTCTTTTTTACCAGAAAACTCTATAACTCCTCTGAAATAATATCCAGGAAATGAGTGTTGAAACTTTTTTATACGTTTGTCTTCTTTAAAAACTATGCTTCCTGCGATTTGAACATCCAGTAGATCTGTACTTGGTTTTATATTCAAGTCGAATGTACGTTTAAAAATATCGATGTTATCCAAATACCTATCATCAACATATTTATTTATTTTAAATAAATGTTTATACTACAGATTATAGATGAAATTAAAATTTGATTAAACATGAAAAAATGATTGGTTGTTCGTTTAAATATTTAACGAAAAATCAATAAACTGCAACATATTAGGGTGCGTTAAAGAACTATTATATGTAATACAACTTCGATTTTACTATCAATTTACTAGTATGTATTTTGAATAAAAGTTAAAATCAGCCGAGCCTATACATAAATACGAATAAAATTTTATTGGCTATGATGAAACTAAACTAATTTGTTAAACTGATTAATTGAAAAAATTTTTTTGTTTAATTTGACAAAATTTTTTTTCATACCAAACTTCTAGAAAATAAATTAATAATTCACGGGTAGATGTCAAACTCATCAATGGGATTTATTTTTGATTGGGGATTTTGAACATAGCTTGTATTTTGTTTGAAACGAAAAACGAAATATGTTTGAAAAATCCAAACGCAATTAAATTTTTACTTTTCCAGACTAACTTTCACTTATTATCATTTTGATAAAAATTTCTGATTGTATGTATACTCACGATTTTGATAGCTTCGTTACGTATTCTCGCATAGTTTTACTAATCTTAAATCCAACACAATTATGTGCAGAAGAATCAGTCATTACAAATGGATTATCTTTCAGCTGTTCTCCATTGTAGTTGGTATCATTAATGGAACCTGGACTTATCATTTCACCTTTATAGTCCGTTATAATTACACTGTCAGACTCGGTGGTAAATAAACTTTGGTCAAACATATAACCAGGTGCAATTAAAGGTAAAGCAATTTTAAAGGTGTAATTTGAAAAATCGAAACTTAAGTTGAGATTTGATATGCCACTTGCGTCCAAGCGCTTTGATGTTCTTACGAAGTAAAATCGTTCAGTCATTGGATTGAACAAAGAAATTCCCGTGTATCCATTAGACGATAAGTTAAAAATAAAATTCATGATTGCTGAACATTTTGATTCTTGCCATTCGGTTTTCGTGACAAACTGTATTGTGGTTAATATTGGTAGTTTAACTTGAAAAGTGGCAGGAATTCCTAAGCTTGTTGGCATGGAAAAGCTCTTGAGACTACTGTAGCCAAAAAATGTCGTGAACCCATTCCAGTTTATTTTGAAATCTTTTAAAATGGTTGATATGATGTCTTTTATTTCATTACTTTTCCTTATTTCATGAGATCTGACACTATAAATCCATGATCCAGTTGTACACCAAATATTTACATAAGCAGATTCATTTTTTGAGTCGTATACGTTAGTGCTGATATAGAACTGAAAAAAATGAGTATGCAATCATAAATAAAATGAGTACTTGCACCACTTTACTTTTTAATTGTTTATTTAAATACGTGAAATATTGATTACGTACCCCATAACTGCTAACAAATTTTTTTCCAATTTTTTCTACGATGTCAAACTTATAAGCCACTGGAAAATCTTTTTGAATCACAAAAGATTGCCTGAATTGGTAAGGCCCTATTCCTAATTCTGTACTCTGTATGGTAGAAATCACTTCTCTTGATAAAGTAAGTGAAATATTTTTCTCATCTATTTTGCTTATAATATTATCATAAATCAATTGCGACAACATATCCTCTTTCTTCATATTAAGGAGATGTGACCAATGATAATTTTTTAAATGTTCATCACGAGACATGACTTTATCGATACTTGTAATTATATTTTTAGGTAAATTTGGCATATCCATTAAAACATCGTAAACAAATATTCGGCTTGTTTGAGATTCCGTATCGTTACTTAAAATTTTCATGAAGTTTTCGTATGCACTAGGGTTTGATCTATCAATGCACTTAGATAGTGCGTAAACTGTAGCTAAACGTAAGCGATCACTTGAAGCTTCATTTAAAATAGAAAGCAGATCATTTGCTGC